ATTATGCACAGTGTAAACCAGTGTAACCAGCATGAACCAGTAAGCCTGTTCATGTTTTTAATGACATTCGCTGGGCATAATGTTAAAGGGGAAAGGCTTTTATCACATTTTTTCTAAATAAAATAAAACTGGTTTTAAATGGGCTAACCACAAAAAACACACATTTAGTTTAAACACAATAACAAAGATAATTCCTTAATTTAATAACTGGTATCAGATATGGCTACTGGTGAGAGATTCCTGGCATACAGGAAGTTGAAATTTGAGAGCAAACTAAACTGCAGCAAATGAGTCATTCATTCAGCAATGTCTGGACTGACAGTAAATATTTTGCTTCTCTCACTCTACTGGAATGATATTTTGTTTTCACAGACCAGCTGGGTTGGGTCCAGTAAAGCTCCAGGTTATATGCTGAAGTGTATTCCTACTTTATCACCACCTGGGTCTTAGGTTTGCTTTTCTGGTCATGTCTAATGGTAAATATTACATGCTCATTAGTTGCAGAGACCTGGAAACATAACATCATTACAACATCATTACATCATATAAATGTGTGGTGGGGTATGAGCAGATGATCAGAGAGGTCTTGACATGACAAAGGTAAATGATAACATTGTTAAACATTCATTATCAGTGTTGGTTTTAGTTCTCACCCATTACTATGGTGAAGCATTGCACTGTTAAGTCAGTTGAGGGACTATTTATGTACTACTATTAAGGTTATCGTAAATTTAGCTCCTCATAGATTATAGCTACATTTGCACCACCCATGGAGCATACAAAGTTACCTATATCAAACACACCCTCCCAGCATTCACTACTGTGGAACTTTTTGCTTCAGGAAAAATGCTTGTGTGTTCATTTTTCCTAATTTACTATAGTAGGAAGGATTATAGGAAGATGGTTGGTAGTCTATTGTTGGCCCAAGCAACTGGTTGCCCTTTTATAGGAATTCAGTTATGGAATGAGGGCCCAGTAGTATGGTCTGCACCTAAGCCAAGAACTATGTTGTTCCATCATTGGCTGCACTAATTGGTATTTAGGTAAATAAAGTTTGGGTCAGATTATTTTGTGAAATGTATACTGATAAAACCACAGTGAATTATCATCCAACTGGCTAATACTTCCTGTCATTTTACAGTACATGTCGAAGTGTCCTTGAGCAAGACATTGAACCCCAAGTTGCTCCTGGTGGATGTCAGCAGTGTTTGAAATGTGTGAGCATGGGAAATAGTGTAATGTACTTTGAGTGTGCATCAATGCATAGAGAAGCGTTAAGTATAAGACCATTTACCAGTTTTTCTCAGAGGTAGCAAGTAGCTATTTTCAGCACAAATGCTCTGATAAAACAATTATACAATTCCTGACCAGCACCAAAGGCCAGGGAAAGTGAAGGACAAGCATAATGGAGTGTTTAGGAAGGAAAGAGTCATGAATTGGTGGGGACCAAAATAGAGCAAGAAGACTAATGAATGTTGGACTTTTTCAGCTGTCCAGAAACATAACTCTAAATGCATGCTAATGTTGTTACTGTTGGTCATTCGTGGAAGCAGTGAACGAGTAGGCAGGACTACAGGCAGACAACTGTACTGATCAAAAACCTTTATTATAATAAAGTCAACAGGTAACCAGAAGTGAGTGTCTGTAGAGTCTGGTAGAAAGGGTCAGAGTAGGTGAAGACAGGACTAGGGGAGTGTAGTTGGAACCCACGGAGAGGAGATCTTGGAGATGGTTTCAGGAACTGGGGTCAGCAGCCAGAGAGCCGAGAGGAGATCAGAGCAGAGGTTTTGGTGTCGATATAACTGACCTGGATGCTAGGCTGAGTGGGTTGCCAGTGACTGGGGAGACTGCAGCCTGTTAGCAGAGGAAATATTGAGAGTCGATGCTGGAGATTTGAACCACAGGAGATGATGGGATGGCCGAAGACAGACAGTCCACACTCTGCAGAGACAGGCAGGTTGGAGCGGAGGCAGCTGAGAAGATGATTGCTGCGCTGTTGTGGAGTCGAATGTAGGGAGCACGTGCAGCCTAGCTTGGAGGGACAAGGAACATGTAGCCGGGAAACTCAGGAGAGGTGAGTGGAGACAGTGTAGCTCAGAGAAGGCAGGCTGCGAGTCGATTTCAGTGCTGAAAACAGAAACACTTGGAGAATAGGGAGTGGAAAAAAGAAATGGTGAAAATGCAGGATTAAGTATTTAATAAAACTGTTATAATGATGAAGAAGATTTTCAATATATTTGCAAATTATGAGTTTGGAGTCAAAATAACCAGAGGACTATGGATCCCAAACTGGGGTGAAATAAATAGTCTGCTTTGGTCCTGAGACACCTGAATGAGTTACATTACTGTCCATGCAAATTCTCTGTCATCCAGGTCATGTATGCTGAAAAAACGTAGAAAAATCATCTGGACTTGGTTTTAGGTAGAAGATGTTTCACCTCTCATCCAAGAGACTTTATCAGTTCTGTCTGACTGGTGGTGAGCAGGAGATATTTATCCCCCTGGGTGGTGTTTCAGTCCTTCGATGGCCAAAAATGTCCCCTAATGACTGATATGTTGCGGTTCCAGTCCTTTGACGGCCAACAATGTCCTCTAACAGCTGAGTCGATATAGCCCGCTATCAGTGAGCGTCGTTACCTGGCTTTGAACCCTCACATGTGGACCAATGCCTATATCCTGGTGTGAATTAGGGTGGGAATGTTTGGGCAGAGATTTCAAAACAGAGTTGTAGATGGATGACAAGTTGTGTCTTAGTCCACCACCCCTATTTAGCGAGGGGTGTTCTATTTGGACAAAAATAGCTTCCTTGACTCTTCTCTCAAACCAGCAATGTTCTCTGGAGAGGACCTGGAATTCACTGTCCTCGAAAGAATGTCCTTTGTCCTTCAGGTGGAGGTGGACTGCTGACTCTGGTCCAGTGGGCTATAACGACTCAGTCATTAGGGGACATTGTTGGCCATCGAAGGACTGAAACACCACCGATGGGGATAAATATCTCTTGCTCAACACCAGTTGAACAGAACTGATGAAGCCTCTTGGATGAGAGGTGAAACGTCTTCTACCTAAAACCAAGTCCAGATGATTTTTTTCTATGTTTTTTTTACTTATATTACTGGTTTATTTAAGTTATTCTGCTGTGGAACCTTGCTAACCTAACTGACACTGAGACAAAGAGTGATGGAGTAGACAAACTGAATGAGTTCAAGCCAGAGTCGCTGGCAGCAACAGGCAAATGAGGACATCAGCTCACAGACCGAAGATGAGTGGCATTGCAGCAGAGCAATCACCATAATGAATATGACATGCTTAATGCGAGACTTTGTTTCTTCAGTACACTGCACAGCTGAGCATAATTGTTAATCTGTATTGATTCTCCATTAATGGTCTACAAGAAAGTATTGTTTTGTAATCTGGCACTTATGAGAAACACTTATTTATCCCTCTTGTGTCTACTCTGTGCTTCCTGCTTTCATTATAGTACATCCCCCTTGTTAAATTTTTTTCAGACTCCTTCATTTTTGTCTGTCACCACAGTGTTATTTTATAGTGATAAATAAAATAAAAATTATACAGGTAGCTACTGTGTATCAGCATCAACAATGTTGTTTACATTTACAAATGTTTTATAAATGATTTGGTGTTTAAGAATGGGGTTCAAAGAGTTGTCATGTTGTCAGGAAGTGCAAAGTTTCCACTATTCATGTGATTTCTAGACTACTGTAGGGTTTTCAGAATCAGAAATTCAGACTCCGATGAATTTAAGTTGTTTTGTTTCCTGGCATTACGACATGATCTTACAAAGTTCTCCATATGGGTGTCATTATAGTAATGTGCTACAATTCATAGAACTTTAGAGTTTTTGACGGCAACCAGGGTCCTGAATCTTTTTGTAAGTTCCTGACTAAAATGCTGTATAGAAACAAAGAGAGACGTGCACACTTTCTGTGTCAGATGTGTTTTAAAGTCCTCAATCGTGAAGTTGAGTGTACACGCAGGTGTAATTTTTACTCCCACAATTGATGCACTCTTAATAAGCAGTTTGCATATTAATATTTCAACTTTCTCCACAAGTCTTTAAGCGTGTAGATGAAAACATTGTCAAAAAAGAAGTGTAATTTTATCTTCTTCCTGTGTCACATCAGTGAGGTTCTCCAACAAGTCCACAGCAGTCATCTTATAAGCTATTTATAGCATGTGTAGTGTCATTTATTCAACATCCACATGTAATTAATGCACAGTGTAATCAGTGGAGTAAGCAAAGAAATTAGTTGAACACAACAGCAACATAAACACAACAGAACAGAAACACTCCTCCAATCAAAATATAAAGAATTTTAATAGAGTACACAAAAGCAGTTGATTGAAATTCATATTATAAATGTTCCCTCAAGTGACATATTGAAGATTACAAAACATCATCCACCATAGTCAGTGACTGAAACTGAGTGACAACCTAGAAATCATATTTATTTCTCTGGAGTCTGTCTCTCACCTTATTTTTGACATATGCTTGAGATGCACACATTCATACACTTGATGAAATTGTTTATGCATCGTTTTTCTACATCTGGCCTGAATAGACAGACACCACATTTTAACTCTTTGAACTGTCTCGATTTGTAAATTAGTGCTACTGTTTTTGTCCTAGAACAATAAATGTTTAAATTTGCCAGATTTTCCACAAATCAGAATTTTGGGCAAATCATATTTGATTGTAATATGTGTGACATTTTTTCAGTGGAGTGCTCACTGCTTTTTCCCCATCAAATATCCAAAACAGGTCACTGAAAAAACTTGGATGACAGTATCTTATGCTGCCGATTTTTGACATTTTATCTCCTCATCCTCATTTTATCAGTCCCATTTACATGACTGTATTTCACATTTCTCTATAGCCCTCCTTATTTTCCCCACTGTTTCCCATCCCCCTCTCTTCTCTCCCCATGCTGGACGACCGAGTCTCTAAACAGGACCTCCTATCATGTCTCTCTTCACACCAGGCAGAAGAACTTTGCCCGAGGCATTGAGCAGCAGCTCCCAGATGGCATGGTTGTAGCATCAGTGCCAACGGAGGTTCAGTGTCACGAGGAGCTGTCAGACCCTGTGCCCGACCCAGAATACCTCACAGGTATAAACCATATTTTATAGCTCTCAACTGTGCAATAATACTTTATCACTGGTCAGGTGGAAATCCTCATTACTTAAAAAAAAAAAAGTGAACTCAGAGCTTGGTAATTAATATGGAGTACTAGGAGGAGCCCAGGAGTGAGCGTGAGAAGATATTCTGTGCCACAGTCCTCATGTAGCTGTTCTACTTGGTTAACAATACCTGAGACAGAATTTGATTTGAGCTGGGTCCAAACTATATGGCAGGGCATATTAATACAGTATCTAATACCCAAGCTGGTTCAAGACTTTGTAGAAGCTTGGATCAAGTTGTGGTGCTTCATAATCGTCAATGCTGAAAAATATAGTTTTTGAAGCAAAGTTCAAGGTGGTTCTCACTCCATTTGAAACCCTGTCAGCTAGAAATTATGTTTAAAGAGAAGGAACACAGTGACATCCAAATTACATTTTTTATCAACCTAAATAGGAAATGGTGTAAACTAAAGTATCATAAAATGTTAATACTGAAAACTAAATAATAATCAAACGACAACATATTCCATTTGCTTGTATCCACAAAAGTATGATTAAACATTTTATGGCTGGCTTAGTTTAATTCTGAGAACAGCGACTTGAAACCCAAGATAAGACTTGTTTACTTAATCAACAAAACTACCGTCTTTCTCTAACACTAACATGCTTTAGTTGCGTAAACCTGCCAACACGTGGGATTGTGGTTGTTGAAACACAGTCTCTGGTGTCAAAGTCCAACCACCTCCAACCTTCGTGCAAGAAATACCATTTTTTTCCCATTTATTTTATATTTTCAGACATTTCTAATACAGGTCAAGTTGTTTAATCAAGTTACATAACAAGCAAATTATTTTGAAAAGGCAGTTTGATGATTTCTTTTTTTTCTGGCCTGTAAGTGTTGGCTGAAAACAGCCTTATCAGTCATATCAGAAGTCAGGAATAATAAAAAAAAAGAGGATGGAGCACTGCAAAATTCATACTGATATTTTATACTGCTCTCAGCTGAGACTATGCTGTTATATTAGATGTCAAAAACATACTGTCAGAAATGAAGCCAACTTGTTGCCCATTAAACATCTGAATAATTGAATGGCAACATTTTAGAGTAATTCACATGTGTCTTAAGTGTTCTCATTTTTAATAGCATTGGGGGTTTTTTATTTCACCTTGGAATGACACTGACAAGTATAGCCTTACAGAACACACACACACACACACACACACACAAAATCACCCATATACAAACGAACCGTCTGTGTCTCACAAGGAGTTTATGCTCCTCAGCTCATCATCCAACTCAGCAAAGAACTTGTAGGGACAATAGGGGGAGCATTTGTGAATAAATAAATAAATAAATTTAAATCTGAGAAGCATGAGAAGGAAATGGGAGGTGGAGGTTCATGTTGGGATTCATTAGCCAGTGGCATCAGAAGCCATCTCGCTGTTCTCTTCATTAGCAGCGTGGCACATGGCAGCGATGTTTGAACAGCACCCAGCTGTCCAGTGTAGACCAGCTGCCATTAGCACAGGAACGGGCAGAAAAAAGATGAGGAAAAGTCCTTGCTGTATATCAAGTATTTCCAGAAGGCTACTGGTTTGTATCATCCATCTGGATGCCTCATTATCCACTGAGTTTGACCTCTTTTCCTCCCTTTACTTGTTTTACTGTTTTATATTCCAAATGTTCAAAATCATGCAAAAAAAAAAAAAAAATCTTAGGAATAAGTGTTTGACTGCTAAGTTGAATAGCAAAAAAGTCATGTTGTTAGAAGAACAACTCTTTTTAGAGAAAAGCTGAAAAGAGTATTTCTCTTATTATTTTTCCAAGCTGGCATTTAAGTTGTAGAACAGGAATTCTATAAAGAGCAGCCCTCTGTAATGGGGAGGAGATCCTCCTGCCCTTCAGCACAGGTAATAACCTATTTCTTCATGTTTGGAGTGCAATAGAGAGTACTATAACAGAGTGCAAAATTAATAATCCTATTTCTGCATATTGCCTGGAAATGCTTCATTCAGGCAGCCTGCTGACTAAGCGTATTCCAAGCACCTGTGTAACTGCCTCTAAATTGCCTTATGGTGTAAGCAGTGGATTGCAGGATAGGTTCACCGCTTGTTGTTGATACTTTATAACAGCAGATATACAAGGCCAGTTGGTGCAGGAATTCAAAACCACATCATGTGAGGTTACATCCAAGGTGATGGACAATCAAATGATGATGGAGCAGCAGTGGTTCCAAGGGCCGTTTATTGGAAACTTCAGAGGATATTAGAACTATCTAATCTACAGTAAATGGATCTTCTGCTGTCACATCGCTGAGTTCCTGTTCCCCTGTCCCCATGCTGTCCCCCCTATGCTTGTACTGCTCAAACCTTTTTATCTCTACATCGCCCATGGGTTCACAGTGCACATAGCCCCAAACAGTGTGTAACAGAGCAGCACTCCTCCTCTTGTGCCTTTGTGCTGGGCCTTTGCTGCAGCAGCTGTGGGCTTTACTGAAGAATAATATCATGAATTGAGATATCATTTCAAAGCATCCAGCATGGTCTTGTAGATGCACACAGTGTACTCTGGGGCAGAGTGGCATGGTTTTCATTCTGTACCAAACTAATGCTAGAAGTGAACTGAAGCCTGAAAAAAGGGATATGGGAAGATGGGAAAATCCATCCTACAGAGAACCGAGGTCCTGATGTCACACTTGGGCTAGCTTCTGTTGCACTAGCGTCTGTCTTTTCTTAAAACCTGAAACATGTCCTCTGAGTTTATTGTCCATATCCATCCATCCATCCATTAACTATGCTGTTTATCCTGTAAAGCAAAACTGGAGCCTATCCCAGCTGACACTGGCCTAGAGGCAGGGTACACCTTGTACAGTCTATCACAGGACTGACTCATAAAGACAGACAACCACTCACACTCACACCTACGGGCAATTTAAAGTCATCAGTCAGCCTAACCTGCATGTCTTTGGACTGTGGGAGGAAACTGGAGAAAACCCACACAGGCTTAGGGAGAACATGCAAACTCCACACAGAAAGAGGTTCAAACCCAGACTTTTCTTGCTGTGAGGTGACAGTGCTAACGACTGCTCCACCTGTTTATTGTTGATAAACGATAAATGGGTACTGCAGCACTTGCTATTAGAAGTTGAAACCTCTGTTGTTTTACAGTATGTTAAGTGTGACAGCACTTGTGGGTATTAAACATTATTGTAATTATTTCCTCCATTTTGGTAATATCCACTCACACTTACCTCTTCTAGCTATGAACGCTGTTTTCTAAAAATAAACAAACAAAAAAAAACCCGTGCTTTTAACTTTCTAAAGTCTTGGCCATGTGAAAATTGTTTTTGTTTGTTTTAAGGAATTTTTCAACATTTTGAGAAAAAGAGATTATTACCACTCTCTCACCTGCATGCTACAACCAGCAGGTGATAGCTGGAAACTAAGGAATACCCCTAGCCTGGGTCCAAAGCTTTACAACTTCCTGGCTGAAGTCCTATTGCCAAACCTGACAGAATGGGGTCTGCCAGTCAGAAAGTCCAGGAGCCAGTCACAGAGGGTGGGGTGCAGACCCAAATGTCATACTGATCCTTTCCAAGCTACTACAAACATGAATATTAACTAAACAACTGTATTAAATCATGAAAAGGACTTCTCTCCTTCTCAGAGCAAATAGAAAGAACTATACTAAATACTGCTGAATAAGGTTACAGTATGATTTTTTTTATATTTGCATTATAACAAATTTCAATAAGATTTGAACAAATTTTGAATTTTGTTACTCCTGGAAAAGAGCCCATAGCTTCCACTGTCACTTATCCAGTGTACTGTAAAGCAAACTAAACTAAACTAAATTACATGAGATTCACCAAAGAGTCCATAAAGTTGGAATGATCTCATTCTGACTCTCAGTAACTGCTAATGCAGAACTAACACATATTTCTCTTGAGGTCTGAGATTTCATTTGATAGTGAACATTGTAAACCACCACCCATAGACTGCAGTACATCTATGCAGGAAGACCCTTGGTCTAACCTCTGGCCCTGCTGCATGGAGTTAGTTCATTTTTCAACAAACAGTTTCTCGAACAGTTCAAACATGTTTGGTAACTCTAATCCATGATAGTGTTGTCTTTGGTTAATCCATGTGAAGAGCATGTTGAAAGGTGACTCAGCAACACTTTCTTCAACACATCCACTTTTCATAGGCAAATACAACATACAATGTCCAACAGTAGCTCTCTAATACAGTGCTGCAGTGGATGGTGTGAGGAAAGACTACACTACCCTCAAGCTCTTTTATATTTAAGACATTTCTCAATAACGTGACACGCTGTTACACTGTCTTGTCAGAAATGATGCAAGTATAATATAAATGCCTCATGAAACCTGACAAGCATTCACTCACTGTCCATAAATGCACCCAGTGGTGCTGCAGGCACAACAGATGTGTTGCATAGTTGAGTTCGTATACTGTATTTGCCACATACTTATTTTTATACAAGAGCTAAATAAAGTAGCAGAGGCAGCTTAATGTACAATAGAGTCCAGTACTTCTATACCTTTTTTTTGTGGTCTCCTTCAGTTTTTCATTGCTGGTAGCTTTGCCAATGCATTTATTTCTAGGCTTTTTACATCGTCATGATTTTTTTTTTAAATGACCTTCACAATGTTATACAACTTTTCAATGTTTGCAGTTGTTGCACTGCAAATTAAGCAACAACTGTTTGTTCCTGAAATTTGATTAATGTTGACTTAAAACTATCTTTATACACTATAGTGGGTTATAGGTTTGTACCTAGTTACTTGGACAGGTCTGGGACTACTAGGGAATCTAAAAGTACCAAGAAAAATAACAAGGATTCATTTCATAGTTGGACTGTAATAATATAACTGATCTTCATTTTAAGTAATTTATTTTAGTAATTAGTTTTTATGTGTATTATATAATGCTTATTGTTTTTAATGTTGTGTTTTCCAGAGATGCACC